CTGTCTCTTTAAATATCCAAAATAGTCAAGCCACTTTTTTAACCTTCAAAATGGTGGCTCCCTCCGGACAGGCGATAGTCCACAGCTCAGCCCACCTTTCTCTTCACCTTCTCCGTTTGTTCCCCAGCCACCGTGCACAGTCCTCTGTGAAGTCCCTGGCTAGCAGGGTGATTTTTAGGTTATTTCTTAGGTCCTACCACCACTCGGGAATTTCCAAGCTGTCTGTGCCATCAGGATGGCTCAGGTTCACTGCCAGACTGCAGCTCTGCCTGTCTCCTTTTTTGGTATTTTCACGCAAATTGTTTTGCTAGTTGGGGTTTAGTCCACTTGTATATCCTTCTCTTCAAGGTCAGGGGTCCAAGATTATCTTCTTTGTCTGTGTTAAATGGTTTCCCTTTTCTTTGTTGAAGAGGGTCTGTGTAGTCTTTCTGCCTAGTCCACCATCTTGCCGGATCTCCCTTTCAGGTCTATCTATTTTAATTGTGCTTTCAACACTAGCGAGCATTCCTGATTCCTAGGGTATTATCTTTTCTCCTTAAATAATGGCTCATACAGGTTTTCAGTGCAACTCTGTGGTTTTTACCAAGCCCCTTTAACTTCCAGAACTTAAAATTCAAACTCTGTCACCCCAAAATGGCACTCTTGAAAGCCCTGGTTGGCTTCTTCCACTTTCCATTACCCTCCTTCGGGCTATTTGTATTCCCTCTATACATGTGCAGTTCAGTCAGTTAAATATTTGAGGGGACTGTGTTTGTAGATTTTGGATTCCTTCCTTTCTGGAATATTTCCTATCATTTCTAACTGATCTGCCTGCCCCAATCTCTAACTGACTTCTCAACCCAGAGTACCATTTTCTTTTTGAGCTTAATTTTTTTGTGCTGCAGTGACAGAGAAGTACCCTTAGAGGAGAAGCTAGATAAATGTGCATCTCACCTAATATGGTTTCCTTCTTTCACAAACCTTGTTCCCTCCAGCCTATCTGTCTTTGGTTGCACTTCAGTGACTGAAAGAGTTGCTTATAACTGTTAGTTAGGAATGTTACATTGATATAAATTACTCAGCTATTATGGTAGTTAGAACTGTGTATATAATTTTGTTTGTATTGTCTTTTTGTCACTTGACATTTTAATGTAAAAATTTTTCAAGTTATTAAGAATTTATCATAAACATGTGTTACATTTTGGAGTATGCCATACCTTACCTGGAGATTTTTTTGTTGTTCAGAAATCAAATGTTTTGATGCCATAAGTAGTGCTACTGTCTTGGAAATAAGAAATACATGTTTTGAGTGTCTGGATACAGAACTATCACAAATTTACTTGTATCTCGAGTGAAGAAAATGATTGGAAAATCTTAGTTTTTTTGATAAATTATATTCATCCTTTCAAATGTGACACTATTTCCTACTTTAATCAATGTTTATTGCTGTTGCTGTTATTTTTGTTTTCCTTCAGCGAAAAAAAGAAAATATTCATTGCGTAACTATGTCTGACCATGTTGGTGTTGAGAGTTTGCCTGATCAGCTGGTCAATAAATCCATCCAGCAAGGCTTCTGTTTTAATATTCTCTGTGTGGGTAAGTGCTGAACTCTTCCTTTGTATTTCTTGTGTTTACTTCACACTCATCATAAGCAGTATGATGCTCATGTTATCACACTGACATCATGACCCAGGTCATGTTTTTTTCAGTTATTTAAATTCTACCAGTTTTGGCTTTCTTGGCTACACTGCTTTAAAGTTTTTTGTTTGTTTTAAATATTTCAGTGCTTTCTTCAGAGCTCTGAGTAACTGAGCGTGCATACTCATTTTTGTGCCTTATTAGTCACTCAGTGGACTACCTTTAGCATCTATGCTTTCATAGACAACCTAGCTTTTGAAATATTTGAGATCCTTGAAATGACTGTAGGAGTCTAGACTTCCAATACTTCTCAGTCATAAAATGCACCTGTGAAGATATATCTTTGTTTATTTCAGGGGAAACGGGAATTGGAAAATCAACGCTAATGAACACGTTGTTCAATACCAATTTCGAAGACCGTGAATTCTCACATTTTTACTCTCATGTTAATCTTGAGGCTCGTACATACGAACTTGAGGAAAATAACGTTCGATTGAAGTTGACCATTGTGAGCACAGTGGGATTTGGTGACCAAATAAACAAAGAAGAGAGGTTGGTATTTTCTTTTTTAAATAAAACTTTTTTTTATTATATCAAGAAATATATTTACTTTTTCCATGGGCTGTGATTTGATATTCTACTGTGGTAATCTATACTTTTCCTCCCAGACTTTACTTTTTAATAATTAAGTAATAAAAATGTCTAGTTCTTATTAGAAAGTTGATATTTTTTCATTCCAGTGTCAATGTATATTAAGTGATTTGCACTAATTTTCATGCCAAACATTATCTTGTTGAGTAAAGTAAAAAGATAAATAAAGGTAAACATATATAGTGACCAAGTGACCAAATATATGGTTCTTGCATCTTTTTTTTTTTTCCCCCACGAAATTCTAGCCAGTTAACGTTATTAAGCATTGCAGGTAAGGTTTGATAATGAAATTTTTATTTATATTTTATCTTATGTCATTAATTCTTCTATGGTTTTAAAAAGATTGAGTATAGATTTTCTATCAAAAGTAAGCTTTGAAAAGGGGAAATAGATTGGAGCAAAGAAATAACTTTTGTTTTTTCCTTATCAAAATGTATACATTTTTAGAAATAATTTTTCTAGATTCTTTTTTTTTTATTGTGATTTAGGTGGAAATTTACAGAGCAAATTCACTTTCCAAACAGCAGTTCACATACACTTTGTCTTATGACAGTGACCACAATTTACCACAATGCAACATCTCCCCTCCCACTTCCTCCAGATAATTACCTCTTCCTTGTGTCCATCCCTCCATGCACTCCTGCCCCCTGAGCTGTCTCCCTATGCATAAGCAGCCCTTTTTTCTCCCGTGATTGTTCTCTCCAAGGAGTGTATCTACCTCAGGTAAATGTTCAACTCATATGCCTGTCTTTTGTTTGGCTAGTAGCCACAGGTGTTGGTTCAATTCCAGACCTGAAGGGCAGCTAGGGGCCATAGTCTCAGTGGTTCCACCAGGCTCTATTGGACCAGCAAACCTGGTCCTCCCCCCCTTTTTTTTCTCCAAATGATTTTGAGTTTTGTTCCACATTGTTATCCCTCTCTATCCAGGATCTCATACATAGATCCCCTTCCAAGTGGTTGACAGTGGTAGTTGGGCACCATCTAGTTCTTCTAGTCTCATAGTCATACAGGCTGCAGATTGGATGGTGTACCAGTCACTAGGACTGATTGTTTCCATGAATTTTTGGTTTTCTTCATTCTTCTTTGCTCTGGACAAGGACAAACCCATTGCTACATCTAGATGGCAGCTTGCTAGCTTTAAAGATCCCAGTCGCTACTCACCAAAATAGGAGGTAGAACAATGTTTTGTGTAGTATGTTATACCAATTCAGCTTGATGTCCCCTGCGACTATGGTCCCGAGCCCACAGGTTGAACTACTGGCTCCCTCTGGGTAGCTGGCTGTGACCAGGCAGTGACTACAACTTTTGTTGTTGTTGTTGTTGTTGTTGTGTGCCATCGAGTCGGATGTGACTCATAGCGACCCCTCCTTGGGTTTCCAAGGCAGTATCACTATGGAAGTAGATTGCCCCATCTTCCTTCTGAGGAGTGGCTGGTGGGTGACTACAACCTTATCCCTTGTTAACTCTACTATACACCTGGGAAATCAGATCATACACATAAACCATTGTCTGCCAACCCTATACATGTTCTTAGGTACACTCCCTGCTTCATAGACATACCTACTAGTTCAGCCTGTCCCCCCATCTATCCACCCGTATACCCATGTTTGCCTTCACTGACAACGCAGGACTGTATGTGCAAAAGGATTCATCTTTGTTGTCTGTACCTCCCATGTACCTCTCTATGTCTTTCTCTTCCTCAGTGCCACCCTGATGATCACTCACATTTGGTACATTGCCCTTCTCTTCACCCAAATCAATACTTATCTCTATCTATCTAACAGTGTTCCCTCCCCTCCCCTCCCAGCCTTGGTAACCAACAAAGAAAATTTCCTTCCATAGATAAACATTTCCTTGACTTTTACAATAACAGACAGATACAATATTTGTCCTTTTGTGATTGACTTATTTCACTCAGCATAATGTCCTCCAAGTTCATCCATATTATGCGGTGTTTTGCAGAGTCTACATTATTCTTTAGGGTTGCATAGTATTCCGTTGTGTGTATGTACTGTAGTTTGGATATCCATTCCTCAGTTGATGGACACCTAGGTTGTTTCCATCTTTTGGCTATTGTATATAGTGCTGTGATGAATATGGGTGTGCATATGTCTGTTCTTGTCATGGCTCTCACTTATTTAGGATATATAGATTGCCTGATCTTTCTCCCACAGAGCTCCTAGTGGGTTCAAACTGCTGACCTTTTGTTTAGCAGCCCAAAGCTTTAACCGGAGCTCTACCAGAGCTCCTTAGTTACACCCTACAGGTTGGTTATATATAATATATTCATTTTCATTCAATTTCTAATCTCCATTTTTATCTTATACTGAAGAAGTGACATTTTATTTTTATATAGTGACAAATATAATTTTTTGCCTTGTAACGCTGCTTGTGTTCAAGCCTCTGTTGTCTGGTGTTAGTATAGGTACATCAGCTTTATATGTATTCTTTTTTCTCTCTCTCTTTCAGCATTTCTGTACCCTATGTTTTATTAAAAGAATATTATTTTCTTTTTAGAAATCCAGTCTGACAGTGCTTATCTTTTGATTGAATGTTTAGTCTCTTTATATTTAATGTGCTTAGATATATTTAGGTTTAAATTAACCATTTTATTTGTGTTTTCTGCCAGTTTCATATTTCTTTTTCCTTTCTTGCTTATTTTCTATTCTTGCAGTTGTTACCCTAGAAATTATAACAAATTATTTAACTTAATCAAATTTAAGATTAATTATATTTGTACTTCTTCCCAGTATATGAATTGTCAATAAAAGTGAGCTTAGAACAGTTAAACTCCATTGATCACTCCTTCCTGACTTATTGTTACAATGTATTTTGTTTTTTTAACCATATAAAACATAATTAATTTTTTACACGGATAGTGTTTGTTTATTACTCTGTTAAACCAAAATCTCTGTATTTTGCTCTCATACTTAAAATTTTAGTTTGACATAAAATTCTGGTTGGCAGTAAGTTTTTTCTTCCCACTGGAGATGCCATTCCATTCTCTCCTGTCTTCTATTGTTGCTTTGAGGTAGCGGTCAATCTTCTCTCCCTTAAAGGTACTCTCCTTTTTTTTTTCTCCAGTTCTGTTGACATCTTTGTTTTTGTTTTTTTCTGGTGATACGTATTGATTTTTATTTACTTTTAATTTATCTTGCTGGTGATTTGTTTGGCTTCTTGAATCTGAATACAGTATTCTTAGCAGTTCTTTAAAAAATCTCAGACATTATCTCTTTAAATATTGCCTCTGCCCCTTTTTCTGTCTCCTTTCTTTCTGAAACATTGGTTAAATATAGATCTTTTCATTATAGTCATATGTCACTTAACACACACGATAATGGTCTGTGAAATAGGACATTTTGTAATTTAGATGTTAAGTGAACACTGTAAAGCCAGGAACCATGTAACATCTGTTCGGGTAACATCCAACTACATATACATCAGTGGTCCCATCCTTTCAGGTTGGCACTGCACATGTGCTAGTGCTGCTAGGCTGAACTTCAAGCTCCCATCAATTGCCTCTGAAGTCAAAGGGCCTGCTGCCTTGCTGAATATTTTTATTTCACACCAACTTTGGCAAGGCAGCAGGCCTGAATATATATCAAGCCAATAGGTTTACTTCTGGTGTGCCCTTACCCTGAAGCTATAGACTTTCAGGATATCAGCAGGGGGAGGGTCTCATTAGATTTCCCACCTTGTGTGGACATTCAGCTTTGATTTCTTCATCTTTATTTGTGTGTCCCTCAAAAGCAAACCCCAAGAACTGCATTGTCAAATGCCTTTAGGATGAAAACGGCATTAATGGTTTAATGCAGGGGTTGGCACACTTTTTCTGTAAAGGGGCAGATAGTATTTAAGTTTTGTTGTACGTATAGTATCTGTTCCAACTACTGAACTTTACCATTGTAACACAAAAGCAGCCACATACAATACATAAATGAATATGTGGCTGTGTAGCAATAAAACTTTATTTACATTTACAAAAATAGGTAGTAAATTGGATTTGGCCTGTGGTTAGTTTACTGACCCCTGCCATATTCTATTGCTTATGTTTCTCAGTTTCTACTTCTCCAATTTTGTCCTGATCAATTTCTTAACACCTTTGGAGGTCTTTGATGATTTTAAGAAGGTGATTTTTATATTTTAAGCTAATGTCTTTGTTTTTATTGGAAGGGAAAGTCTCTTAGTTACTGGAAATGGAAAACTTGGGCAAATTCATATGGAAGAATTCCTACTGTATATTATTTATTTGGCAGAAAATATTTATGGCTTTTTTTTTTTTGAAAAGCATGAAATCAAGAATCCATCCTGATAGAGGAATATTTATGGCTTTTCCTTTTTAAATGATTTCTTTATATTTAATATCTTAATTAAGTCTGAGTGACTAATACTTTTTTTTGCATACTATTTTTTAAATATTTTATTGTAGTTTTGGTGAAAGTTTACACAGCAAATTAGCTTCTCATTTAACAATTTCTGTACATATTGTTCAGTAACATTGGGTACATTTTTTACGATATATAAGCATTCTCATTGTTGTCATTCTCATGGTTCTTTTCCATTAGTCTAGCTTCACTGCCTTCCCTTACCTTCTCATCTTTGGTCTAGGGTAAATGTTTACCATTTGATTTCAGTGAGGTGATTATGTAGAGGAGCATAGTACTCACAGGTGATATGTATTTTTTTATGGGCCAAATCTATCATTTGGTTGAAATGTTACCTCTGGAGTGATTTGAATTTCAAGTTGAAAAGATATCCCAGGGCAATAATCATGAGGTTTCATCTGCAGTAGTTGTTGTTATGTGCCGTCGAGTCGGACCTGACTCATAGTGACCCCTCCTTGGGTTTCCAAAGCAGTATCACTATGGAAGTAGATTGCCCCATCTTCCTTCTGAGGAGTG